TTTCAAAGTATTTCAAAAAATGCTGCTCCATGTAAATTTTCTTTTCCCTTTAAAGTATATGTGTTTTACACTTTCTTTTCCATGTATATTTCACAATAAAAATTTTTAAGTAAACTTTAAAAAGAAAATTTGATTCCTACATTTAAATAGCTATGACAGACGATGGTATATCTTATAAGCATTCAGAGCTTTGAACATACATGAGAATATTTGCATACTAAAAATATTTTATAAGCTCTTTAGACACGTTGTTGAATCAGAGGCCATTTATTCCTACAGTTTCATTAATTTTATGCCAACTATCAAAATTAGTTATGATTTATTTATACTCCACTTCAATCCTGAAAAAATTGTGACTCAAGTTCCTTAAATCCTAGTTTTACAATCCATTTTAAAAGAATTTCTAAAATTTTCTAAAATAGTTTCATAAGCTGTTCTATAAAGATTAACCTCTGAAAAATGAAGTATTTAGGACTTTTGGAATGAAATGGAACTTTGTGTCTTTGATTATATTAGCCACCAAGTAAATTATACTAAGGGGATAGGAGGTGTACAATTTTTAGAAACACAACAGATTGTCAATGTTTCAATTTTGATGGGTCACCACTGATTAAATCGAGTTAAGTCCTGTTTGATTAGAAAGAACTCAAAAATATTTTAAAGCATATCCTTGTCTCTGAAGTAATAGTCCTAGAAACCTGAATGTACAATTTCATAATTAGAGGAATATGCATGTTCGTTGTGAGCACATCACACACTTCTGTGCTTTGTTTTTTCCTAAGAAAAAAATCAGATATATTAAAAGCAGTTTCAACTTTGGCTATATTATGCAACTGCCATTTCACCTAAGTTACTGAAGAATTTTTGGAAAATATTTTTGATTTTCAAAAGCTTTTGAAAGACTGCACCTAATGTGTTTTAAGTAAAATCCAACTCATTTTCAAAGCATGATTAAACAATCATTAGGTCAAAATGGCATGGTCCCCTCCCTCACAAAACAATCCAATTCTTTCTTCAGGTATCAGTAAAGAGCAACAGGATGATTAAGGCATAATTGCTTTTTCAGGAACAATTTACTAAAAATAAAGCCAAAAAGCCAAAAATAAAGCCTCTCCTTTTCAAAAAGAGTATATTCCAGATACCCATTTAATTAAACACATTCTTTCTTAAAGATAATGGAGATGTTTTCTTGTTGTCAAATAAGAAATACATTGTTATTATTTCGTATTCACCTTTTAGTTGGTTTTTACTTTAAGATTTATATTGTTGAATAAAATATTCCTCAGTTAAACCTAAGGAGGTTTTTTTTTTTCAGTCTCGTTTTAGATATTAAAATGTATGGGGGAAGGGAAAGTGTGGAAAATATAGAATAACTTGTTGAGAATTTGATCGGTTTTCAATTAAGGAATTTTATAAAGATATCTTGTTGCTGTTCTTAAATTAATTCTGCATCAGAAGCCAAGTGATTTTTTCGGTTTTGAATAGTAATGATACAGATTTTCTTTACCAATAATGTATATATTAACTACATTTAATATATCAGATACATTTTATTTCTGTATCTAAAGAAAACCTTAGTGCCTGTTAATGCTTAATAACATCAATAACAATTCTGCCAGAGTAGTGAATTTATCATTTATTTTCACAATCGAAAAAAGTTTGTGAAACTGCTATTTTGAACAAAATACATGAAAAAAACTAGTAATTTTCTTTTGACACAATAAATGAAACCACTGCTTTTTGCTCTCAATAATGTAGCAGACACGAATTTGTTGACATTCAGTGTCTTTTTACCTGTTTTTCCTGTCGCGTTAATACTCTCTAGCTTTAAGGATTCCCCCCCCCCAAAAAATGTTTTCACCATCTAGGAAGATGTCTCCATATACTCTCAGTAGCTACTGAATACTGAAAAGTTCTACAACAAACGAGGTTACTTTACTGAATCTTTTCAGAGCTTCAGTAAATGCGGTGCTCTTGGGATTGTTTTAAGTTTTAAAATTCCTTAAAAATCACAAATATGAGTTATCTTTACCCACATGGCACCTCGCACATGTTCACGTTAAGGGTAAACTTTTCTGCCCCTGGGGTTTGAGGAGAGAATACACGCTATGGGTAAAAAACACGAAGATTTCGTTGAGCACGCCACGAAAAAAACTGTTGACATCTTAACATTGCTAAATGTTCTGAAGTTGCTAAATCTCCTTAAGTTGCTTCACTTGCGTCACGAACACCAAAACCCAAACCAGACAAACCTCTCCCCCGCGGCAGAAGGGCGAAGGGCGAGCTGAGGGCGGCTCTGCCCATTAACAGGTGGCCGGCCGGGAGGGGCCTTCAGCGCTCCCGCCGCCGCCGCCGCCGCCGCCGCCACGGCCGCCTCCCGAGGACGCTCCGCCCGCGAGGGCGCCCTCACCTCAGTGGGCCTGGCCACCTCGGGCCGCCCCCACGGCGGCCAGGCACTCACCCTGCTCCCCCCAGCCCCCGCGTCCTGGTGGCCTGCGGTGCCCCAGCGCCTTCGGGGTCCTGGTTTCCACCCGGCGCCACGGGGCCTCGGCACAGGCGGGGAGGCCCTGGGAAAAGCACGTGCCTCTTTTCGAAGCTTCGTCCCCCGGGCGGGAACTCCCGCCGGGCCTCCGTGCGCCTGGCCACCGGTTCCCATCTGCCGAAGTACGCAGGCGCCGAAGCTTCTAGACGCCGCCGAGTGGCCGGGCCGCGGGGACACGTCAGACCTACCCACCAGCAACCTCGGCCCCAAGTGTGAAGTTCTGGAACGTCCCAGGCCAAGCGGGACAAACTAACAAATGCGACGACATTGAGGCCCAGGGGTTTGAGTACCTTGCTCCGGAGGCCACACAGTTGTCCGAGCAGGCGCAAAGCCGGGTCTCCTGGTTTCTTTCCACCGAACAGCCAAGAGGACCGCTAGGCGCCCCCCGGGAGCCCGCCTCAGAGCTGCGGGTGGGGGCAGCCTAGCACCTGGGCCTCTAGCGGCACTGGCAGCTGCTGCGTGAGCCAGAGCGGCCCCGGGGCGGGACGGGCAGGGTCGGCTGAGGAGAGCGCCTGGGAAGCCCTCCAGCAGTGGTGCCCAGGCCCGTGCAGCGCGGGCTGGAAGCCTCTTGGCTCCGGCCACCGGCCCGGCCTCTCCGGCACGTGCGGGCCCCGTAGTCGAGGGGCCACGGCGCTCCCCGGGCGGATTGGCCTTGGCTCCGCCTTTAACTGGAGGCGCTGCCCAAGGCGGAGCCCGCGCGGGGGCGGCCCAGCCCTGCGTTCGGGGGTCTTCCTCCGGGGGCGGCGCCGGCGGGCGGGGCTCGGCGGGGCCCGGGCTGCGCCCTCCCGCGGGCCTTTGCTGAATCGGGGATAATGGGTTTGCTGGAGTGGGAAGGCGCAGTGCGCCCGAGCCGGGCCTACGGAGTCCAGGGGGAGGACGCGGCCGAAAAGGCTTTTCTGCCACCGGAGCTCGCAGCCCTAAGACCTTGCTCCGCGCGGGACCCTGAGGGAGGGGTCGTTCTCCAAACCCGGCCTCACGTTGTGTTCTCAGGTCTCACACGGAATAAAAAGAATAGACTGTGTTGGTCACTTCGCAGGAAACTTTTCGTTGTTCCCTTATTTCCTTCCTGCCCGTGGACAAGTTGAACAGCTTCTCGGTCTTCCACCCAGATTTCAGGCCAAACAATCTGGACAGCGCCGGCTCTGGGTTTTCTGGAGGAATCACCCCATCCCTTCCCCACCTCCTTCCTGGTCTTCTCTCAGGGCAAGATGGAACCGTCCTTTCCGACCCCCTGCTGCAAGTGGGGAGTCTTCTTTCCCTGCCAAAGTGAAACGCGTCCTTGTCGACTTTTCTAGATTTTATGTTTGCGTTTTAAACTTCACCATAAGCAAAAGATAACTTGGCTACTTCTGGCAAGGGCCTGAGGGTTTAGAGGGACATCTTAGCACGTGGAAGGAATGACTCGGATCCCCTAGCCGCCGTGAAGCCACCCGGGACAGCTCAGCAGAAAGGAAGGTTGTCTGCTGCCAACATGCAGGACACGGATCGGTTTTTTGTCGTTTTGTTTTCTTTTCCTTTTTGGCTCAGCTCTGAGAGCATTACAGAGCTACCCTTTCCCGCCTCCGACCCTCTTCCCCTCCCCCTCTTCTGTCTGGTGCAGGCAATTAGGGTGAAGAAATCAGTGCCAGGTTCCTGCCTCTGAAGAGAAAGGAATTGCTTCGGGAATTGAGTCCTGACACCTGTCTCTGTCCTGGATGGCGAGAGGGGATGCGGGGTCAAAATGCCTGGGGGAAGAGGCCAAGCTGACCGGGAGGGTAGGACAATCCCTCAGAGAACGTTCTCTGGAGACTCCTCTTGCCATGTCCTCCCTCCCTACCGTTTGGCCTCCTGCTTCACACAGGTCATTAACACGCGGGGGTATTAACGCGGGAGTTTCCCTCTTTTTAGGCTCCCCGAGACCAGGACCTGGGGCTGGAATCAGAAGAGCGACACTGACAAGCCGTTCATTAATTTGCATTTATTTTCGGGAAATAATGTAGATAAAGGGGGAGGAGGGGGACTGCCTTACATTTCAACAAGTAATTTGTGGTCTTCACATCGGACAAATCAAATTTACAAATTACTTTCCCACCTACTGGACGAAAAGGCCAAAGCCAAAATTCATACACAGGCGCGGGCTCTCCGCAGATTTCGGAGAATGAAGGTGCACTAAAAACTCACTAGACAAAACAGGGTTGTTTAAAGAGAGAGAAGCCGACAGAGGAATTGGAACTGGGGTTTGGGGCCTGGATCGGTTTGTTTGTTTTTCCATAATGCCGCATTTTTGTTTTGTTTTCCTTTGTGATTGGTCTCTAAACCGGAACTGCGACTCTGTGCTTGGACCTGGTGAAGGGCTCAGTCCTACGTCCCCGCCCAGCCTAGCCCCCTCCCTCGTACCCTGACTTGGCTGTTTCCTCCACACTCTCGGACCCTCCCGACCCTCCGCGCCCAGCTTCCTGGAATCAAAAGGTTCTCTTTAATAAATACACAGAGGGAGAAGGTGTAGAGGGCAGGTCAGCTTTGCAACAACTGAAAAAATAAAAGCGCCATCGTTTAAGGAAGAGAGGAAGGGGGACAGAGGGAAAATATTTTTTGCTTTTGTTTTATATATATGTGTGTGTATATATGTATATATATGCTGTATATATCTTAAAGTTCTAGTTCCTGGGCGCTAAGACGAGATATGTTCAGTTCAACCAACAGCAACTAAAAAGTTTAAGTGGTCCCTGGAACGGACCCGACTATGTACAGCATTCCCGCCGAGGCGGAAGCTTGAGCCAGTTCTACGCAGGGCGGGGCTGTGCGCGAGAGGCTAGGGGCGCGCTCCTCCCTCGGGCCTTGTCCCCGCGCACCCCACTGGGGAAGAGAAAACGCCGGGAAGGTCTGGCCTGCAGGCGGGGAGCAGGGGCGAGGGCAGCTGAAGGAGCCGTAGTCTGCAAGCGAGAAACACTTAGTGGTTGTTTTGATTTGGGGTGGAGTGTGGGTGCACTCCAATGGGCAGGCACATGCCAGTTAGGGACTCCAGTGTCCAGAAAGAATAAATAAAAGTGTAGGTAGGGCTCAAACAGCGAGTCAGAGCAAAGAGCCTCCGAAGGCTGCAAGTGCATAATAACTGCCCAGAAAGACTGGAAGAGAGTGGCTTAGGAGTTCGTTAGGGGTTGAGGAGGAGAGCACACAGCTCTCCCCATATAGAACTTGCGGGCCAAGCCGAGGCACCGGTCCCCTCATCCAAGGGTTGGGCGGGTCTGCACATCCCCCAAACAAGTGGCAGAAAGATGAGGGCGGCAGTGCAGGCAAAGGGCATCTTTAGGGGCATGAAAATTCAGGTCTGCAGAAGCCGAGGCGAAGGCGGGCGGTGGCAGCAGCAGCAACAGGACGGGGACCACGGAGGGCGCAGGTAGTTGCGTTTCTTCTCCTCTTCCTTCCACTCCTGGGCTCACAAGACCTGGAACCGCCATGAGGCTTGGTCCTTATAGTCCAGACAGTCGGGCGAATTGAAGTTGAGTTTCCAAGCCGAGGAAGCAGCGGCGGCGCCAGGCTCCTTGTAATCCAAGCAGTCGGCAGAGTTGAAGGCGAGCCCCGAGCCGCCGTAGCCCTGGTGGTGGTGGTGGTGATGGTGGTGATGGTGGCCTGAGGACTGGCTCAACGGGTGGTGCGCATGCGGATGGTGGTGGTGGTGGCCGGCCATCGAGGAGGGTGCCATAGGGCTGAGCTGGTGCGGGTGGTGATGCGAGTGCATGGGCGCTAGATATGAGCTGCAGTCCACGCCGCCAAAGTAGGAAGAGGAGGGCGCGGGGTAGCCCTGCCCGTAGCTGCCGCCCTGGCTGTAGGACATGGGGTAAGAGGCTGCGGCCGAGGCGGCGCCAGCAACCGAGCGCTGCATGCATGATGCGTTGCTAGGCGCGGCCAACGGTTCGGGCAGTGACACCGACGCGGGCGCTGAGCCCGGCGAGATGGAGGCCGGACTCCAGATGGATGAGGCAGCCGGCGTACTCAACGACGACGGGACTGCCACCGCCGGGTTCCCGGCCAGGCCTGCAGCCGCTGCCGCCGCTGGGTTGGCGGAGGCGCTGGAGCCCGAGCTGGAGGACGAGGCGGAGCTGGACACAGCGGGCGGCGTGAACTGGCCGCTGCTTTCCGAGCCCGAGCTCTCCCGCACGGGGGACGACTTCTTCTTGGCTGGGCGGCTCTTGGTCCCGCTCCCGCTCTGCTGCTGCTGGCGGCATTTGGCACGGCGGTTCTTGAACCAGACCTGTAGCGGGCCGAGTGGGGAAGAGGGTCTCAGGAGGTGGGGGGGGCGGGGCGAGCTGAGCTTGCTCCCCCGCCTCTTGTACCCACTACCCGGCCTAGGGTCTCTCATCCCTCTCCTACCGAGGCCTCCGCCCCTCCCCATCTCCGGCCAGGCCAGCCCACGTCCCAGTAGTCCCTGCTCGTCCACCCTCCCCCGTTCCTCTGACCAAAGATCCTCCTCTGGCAAAGCAGGGATGTGCAGCTCCCCACCCCCAGCGCGGCTCTCCCCTAGGGCGGAACATTTGCGTCTGTCCAGCCAGAAGTTCAGCCATCTCTAAACTGCTGCTGTTGGCTGCTTCCCAACAGCGTCGTGTATGTTTGGAGGCCCTGTATTCTATGACTAGAGCTGAGGAAACTGCGGAGAGGCACCAAGGAGACCGTAGAGAGCGGGACAGTCACCAAGTCCGAGGTGGGAGCCAGTCGGCCCCAGAAGCCCCCCCCCCCACCGTGGGCAAGGCGAGAATTTGAGTGGATGCAGAAGTAAGCTCAGGAGGCCGAACAGAGGCAGTACACTCGGGGGACTGGGGAAGGAAGCCTGAGCAGAATTTCGTTGGGCTTCTTGGCTCCAAGTGGGGAACCAAATGGGGCAAAGTTCTCAACATTCCAGGTTCTTTCTCGGACCTCGGAAAGAAGACGATGATAAAAGGCCCTTCAGGAGAGTTCTGAGTTATAATCCGAACAGTATTTTTATCGCAAAAACCAGAAACAGCAAAGCCGGTAGCCGGGTTTTGCGTTCAGCATCCTCTCTGGGCAAAGGAAGAGTCTAATCACACCGGCGCCACCCCCAGAGTGCACTCCGACAGGGCACCAGGCTCTGGCCAAGCTCCACTCTTCCATTCCCAGGATCCCCCGGATGCAAGGCAAGAGCGGGGGCAGATTTCAAGACCCCGAAGGAAACTGCCAAATCCTGGAATGGCCGAAGAAGCAGGGGCAAGCGTCAGGCCCTCTAGGCACTTTACTTTCGGGAGCCTCGCTTGCCCTCCCGAATAGGATTTTTAGGATAAAACGACTTTCAATACCGAAGGCGCTCTGGGACCAAGGGGCCGAATCCAGGGCTCTAAGCTAGTTACTTTAACTTTGCTCCTCTCCCAGGCCGGGGCTGAGCGCTAGGGGGAGTCTGAGAGGGGCTGCCCAGTCTGCAGGTCCGCCCCACACCACACCACCCTTCCCAGGCCCTCTGCAACCAACCCCAGGGCCCCTACCCTGGCCCCGGAGCCCTGGGCACGCGCACCTGGACTCTGGACTCCGGCAGGTTGATCTTGAGCGCCACCTCCTCGCGCATGAAGATGTCAGGGTAGCGAGTCTTGGCGAAGAGCGCCTCGAGCACGTCCAGCTGCGAGCGTGTAAAGGTGGTGCGCTCCCGCCGCTGCTTCCGCGGAGTGGCTGAGGGGACACGCGGGGGCGCCTCGGGTCAGCGGTGGCCACGCGGACCCACGCTAGGGGACGCAGACAGGCCCCTGGCGGGCCCTGTGCGAAGCCGTTGCAAAAGAAAGCCGAGTTCCAAGCGAAAGAAAAACCCCGGAAGGCCGAGCCTGAGAGGCCACAGGTGGGAGAAAGTGCATGTGTGCAACTGGGAACCAGTGTCTTCAAGACTCTAGAGTTGCCCCCTTCCCTGCCTCTCGGAGGTTAAGAAAGGAGAAGAAGTTATACAATCTCCTTTCTTTCACCACCTCCCCCCAACACATCCCCTGGCTGGAGGATGGGGAAGGGGTGCGCAGAAACACCACCTGGAAAACACTTTCCGAGGGAATAAATGGAGGTGAAGGAGTGGGAGCTAGGAAAAAAACCCAAAAAACAACCGGGATTCAGCTCAAGCCTTCCACATCCGCAGTGCAAAAGTTGGTGCAGACCACCGATGTATAGGACAATTTAATTAGGGAGGAAGAATCCCTCTTCTCCATCTCAGCCAGTCATTTCCCATAAGGAAGTCTTGGCCCTTCCTGTCAGGGCCTAGAGAGTGTCCAGATTTCCTCATTCAGTATTGGGGGGAAAGGAATAGACACACACAAAGACACACACACACACACACACCAAAAACGCCACCCATGAGAAACGGATCCGTGGGTCAGTGTGTCTTGTGCCGCTGGTGGGACCACAATGAGAGACAGGCTGCCCGTGTGGTCAGGCTGGGAGGGCATACCTTGCACCACATCACTGGCCTGGCCCACCTCACCCACCAGCGGCTGTCCTGTGAGCCTGCAACATGCGGTGCATTGTAGGCAGACTAGCCAACCGGCTCCCTGGGCCTGCTCAGCCACAAAGTGTGTGCTCAAACTCGAGAGTCTGGGGGTCCCCAAGATTTGCAGGGGCTGGGGTCGGGGATCGGTGCTCACCCGGGTAGCCCACAGAAGGATGTAGGAGGTCCATGGCTGGCCCGGCTAGGCCCAGCCCATTCATGCCATATGGGGGTTGTTTGAGGTAAGACATCATGCTAACAGCCGGGTGGAGGCGCCCGGACGGATCCAGGGGGCCTGGGCCAGGCGCAGTGCGGGGCTCCCACTGCGCAGTCCTTCAAGCTCTGTTGCGTCTTGGGGCCCAGCCTATGGAGACAGGAGACACACGTAAACAGTGATTGGGAGCCATTTCGGCTACCTGGTCTCGGCGGAGGCACGGAGCCTCGGGATGGGGAGGGGATGCAGGCTTATGGAACTTCGCAGGGTGGTCAACTCCGCTCTACAAGGCCTTAGCCCAAACACCAGAGCTTCTTTGAAAAGTAAGCTTTTCTGGATCCTCATCGCCTCTTTTCAGACTTGGAATGGGTAAAAGACACTCGTAGGGCGTCACTAGGAGTGAGGAGAGATTAAAAAGCAGGGCCAAGCTGGAAAGGTGAGAGCCTGAAACAACGCAGAGTGTACAAGGTCCCAAGTCTAGGCAAAATTCTGGTCCGGTAGGAGCCGGCCTCAATAATACTGCAAAAGCAAACGTTTACTCGGCGCCAGTGAGGCAGGCTGTCCAGGGCATAAGGGGTTGTTTCGTTTTGTTTTTGAAAGCAGGAGGAAAATGTAGAGACTCCGGAGAGCTAAGGTGAGGCACTGCAGGGGGGGCTAGCAGCACCTGGGCCTCTCTGGGACGCATTGCCCACTTACGAGAGTAGATTCCTTCCAAGGTCTCCGCCACTGGCTCTGGGCCCCAGAGCCCACAGCCACCCTTCCAGTTAACTCTCACTGCCCAGCCGCTGAAAGATTGCTCACCGGGAATCCCACCACACCTGAACCGCAGTTACAGGCCCAGGGCCCGCAGAGGCGGCCAGAAGACGCAGAAGGGGCCTCGGTAGAGGTGGCGGCTCTAAGACGCGGCGGGAGGTCAGGGGCGCCTCGCCACGGCCGCAGGCCCTTCTTCGCGAACGCGAGCGGGTCCTTCTTTCTGCCGGGTCCTGGCTGCGGACAATGTCGTCCCGGCGGAAGCTGAAAGGTGACCCGCCCAGTGCCCCAAAGGGTCTCACAGATTTGGGAGGCCTGAATGCAGAGTTCCGTGTGCGCCCCGCCTATCCTTCTAGATGAACCCACAGCCCCAGGGCCCTATCGAGACTAGACAACTAGGCCTCGGCAGCCGTAGCTCGCGCTGACCCGGACTGGAAGGTCGAAGCCTCGCTTCCCCGGTTGCCTCCAACCTGAGGCGCTATTCCCAGGGGTAGGAAGTGGAGCTCGGGGGAGTGCGGCTGGGGCCCCAGGGGACCTGTCGCTTCACCCCGCGTCTCGGGAATTCAAAGCAGGCCCAGGCTAGGGAGTTCAGGGAGAGCAGTTAGAACTAAAGAAGTCTACCGCTCCTATCCTCCAGGACTCAGGGTCTGGTCTGGGGGAACACGGTTTGCAGGGAAGGGGACGAAAGGGAAACAGCCGGGGCTCTGGGGCCGAAAGAGAACTGGACGTCAAGCCGTGGCGCCTCTGCCAGGCTGCAGCGTGAGTTTTCAAAGACTTTCTTCAAACTTAGCACTTGGCTCGGTGACTTCGGAGGAGGCGGGGGAGGGGGCGCGGGGCCCAAGCAGATATCTGGGGTCTTCCGCGCACCAAGAGGGGAGCGAGGCCGCCCCCAGCCCCGCCCACCTGCCGGGGACCTGGGAAGCGGGGACCCGTTTGAGGAAGGGGAGTTAAGAACGACCAGCGCGCTCCCGGAGTCCAGGGCGGCCCCACGGCTTTCTCCTTACCTGCCCTCAGTTGCCGGGGCCGCTCACCATCTACCTCGCGCCCTCACACAGACCCGCGGGACAGCCAACCTGCAAAACAGAGCGGCACAGGAATTACTTGCCGGGCCGGACGGTTGGTGTAGGATCCCCGGATTTCTTTCTTTGCCCAACTTCCCTCCTTCCTTCTCTTTCTTTCCAGTGGCTTTGTGCGTGTCCCTCCAGGTTTCACTTTATTGCACACTTTGTTTGCAAAGCCATACGCGTTCCCGAGACACTACCTCGCCCGGGACCGCGCCGAGGGGCCGCAAGGGTTGGGTGGGGGTGAAAGGGGCAGAGTGGGGAGGTGGCTCCCGGTTGCAGTTGCATTCCCGATACAACGTGGAGGCGGTGGGGGCTAGGGAAGTCCTGCAGAGGCACTTTGCAAACTAAATAAATCAAGCGATTTACCTTGTCGGAGTGGCTTGTCTTGCCGGGTTGTTTAGGTGATTGGAAATGTAGCCTGATGAAGATTGATCACCTTTCTACTGCCCTCCCCGGGTATGTGAACGCGAGGTGAGTGCGTAACGGGGCTATGCTGCCAATCCCCGGCCCCGCGCGGGCTGAGTGACAGGGAGCCGGGCAATGGCAGCACGAGCCGGGGGTTACCTCCGCGCGCCCCCGCCCTCCTCCGCCCCCTGCACCCCGCCCTCACCGCCCGCCCGCCCCGCCCTGGTCGCGCGCTAACTCCAGGGCTTGGCTGACAAACGCCTCGCAGAGAGAGGCGAAGACAGCGAACGCTGCGCCAGAGCCCCGTCCGCAGAGGGGACGCCGGTCCCGAGGCCGCCCCGGGGTCCCCGCCCTCCCCTCGCCCTTTCGGCGCCCGTGAGGGAGTGGCAGAGAGGAGACGAGGTGCTGGAGAACCGGTTCCCTCGCTCTCCCGCGCGCCACTCGGCTCAGCGGCCCGGCTGTGGGCTCGAGGACTTCGGAGCCGCGGGCTGGAGTGGAGGGGGCCCCCGGCCCCTCTCTCGGCGCCGCGGCCCCAGCGTCTTCTTTCACCGCGCCACCACCTGCAGACGGACGCCGCGGGCGGCTCGTGCTGGCACAGGCTACTTCGTCGAGCGCAGGAGCAGCTCTGGGTGCGCAGATCCCGCCTCGGCGCCTCGGGACGACCGCGCCCGGGAACGGCACCCGCTGGGGAGGCACCGCCACTTACCTGCTCCTCGGCGTCTCCTGGGGTTCACCGTCCCCACGAAGGGTGTTTGCAAATCTTAAACGCTTCTTCTCAAATGTTGGAGCTCAGCGTCTCCTATCCCTTACACACACACACTCTACTTCTGAATCGAAAGATTTTAATAGGAAACTTTCTTTTTCACACTCAGTCTCTGTCTCCTTCCCGGTCTCCTTCTACCAGGGACAATCTGGCGGAAAACGTGGCCACAGACCCCTGCCCTCAATTTCTTTCTCACACACCGCAGAAGGAGCCTTCTTGGGGCTATTTCCCCGGATTGTTCGTACTGGCGAAGCCCATTTCCCAGCCGAACAAACTTCTCAAACCCGTGTACCTGGTGGACTTTTCAGAGCGCAAAAAAAAAAAAAAAAAAAAAAAAAGTGTTTCGCCCCAACCCTGAGCAAGGCGATTCTTGTAAGTGGCACCTCTTTCTGAATATTAGGCACCACTTTACTCCCTTTCGAGGAATTCCTACCCCTTTTTCCTAATCCCTCCTCCCCTCCATCCCAACAGGCGGAGTGAAAAGTTTGAACAGGAGTAAGTGTGAGGGCGAGTCGAGGACCCGCCAGGCGCAGCTCGGTGGGGAGCGCCAAGGCAGCCGGGGCCGCGAGGTCGGGCACCGAGAGCGGACTGGGCTCTGGGCGAGGAGGAGGAGGAGAAGGAAGGGGGAGCCCGCTGAGTGAAAAGGGGCCGCGGCCGCCGCTCATCAAAGTGCTTCCCCCTCCCCCAAGCGACACTTTCCTTTGGAGTCCGAATAAAATACGGTAACAGAATATGATGGAGGGCACACTGTTTCCTTAACTGCTTCTCAAAGGACCCGGGAGATCTTCTTAGGACCTTTAATAAGGCTTTGGTCGGTTCTTTTGTTGATCTCTCAAAATCAACTCCTTCTAATTGAAGTTGGAGCTGAAAGCGAGCTAATGTTCAAAGAAAGTGGCCGCCAGACCAACGAAATTACATTTTTTTGGGGGGGGACGATGAGGGAACATCTAATCAAAGGGGCAAAGGAGGAGGGGTGGGAGTGGGGGAGTATGAAGGAGAAAAGGAGGTTTTACAAGATCCTTCTCTGGTTCACAAAAGTCAGCGACACGGGCGCTTCTCTCCAGAACAAAGACACCGCAGCCCATTCACAAAAGGGAAAGAAAGAGAGAGAGAGAGAGAGAAAACAATAAAAGAACGAGAGAAAAGGAAAAACATGAGAAAGAAAAAGCTTTAACAGGAAAAGAAACTGCGCAGAGCGCAGCGCTGACCCGGGCGGGGACACAACTTAGGCTCTCGCAGGCCCCCGCGGGGAGTAGCCTGCGAGGCCCGCGGTTCGGAGCCCCTGCGACGGTGCAGAGGTTTAAAGAAAGAAATGAAATACACCCCGCCTCCAGTTCTGGGAAAAGGTGCGGGCAGGAGGGCACTAGTTTTGGGGGGGAAGACTGTGCGGGCGCCCTGGGGTGCGCTGCGGCCGCGTCTGCGTCCCCAGCCCGCGCAGCCCAGCCCAGGCCTCCGCGCTCTGTGCCTGCGTATAGCCCTCTGCAGCCGGGGTGCACGCCCTAGTCCCAGCCCCGCCACTTCTCGCACTCTTGCTTGCTCCGGGCCCTGTTTCGCCTGCAGCTGCAGCGCCCGGCCGAGGTCCCGCGCCGCGAGGTGGGGCGGCTGTGCGCGCTGGAATGTGCTCAGGCGGTCCCCAGGGCCCGCCACACGGGAGTCCGGCGCTCTCGCTTCCAGATGCTGCCACGGTCTCGGGGAAGTTGGGAGGTATCAAGTAGCACAGGTTTTTTTTTCCCCCTTCTGAGAGTATTTATCTAATCCCAAATTGCAGGCGAATTTTCTTAATGCTCAACCCATAAAACCCGAGGATTAAGAAAAGAAAGAGAGGGAGAGGGAGGAGTGTAGAGAGGAAGAGAGACTGAGATGAAAGTTTCTTGTACGCGGCGTGGAGGACTGAGGAGGCCGTCGCTAGGCAAATGTCCAGGTGGGAGACGCTGGGCCAGAAGCCGCGACCGTTCCAGCAACGGCCGAAGGGCGGGGAGGAAGAAGAGAGGGCATCACCGAGGGAGAGCACGTCCACCCAGCTCCAGGCCCCCGGACCGGGGAGGGGGCGTGGGAGCTGGGCCCTGGGACCCGGATCCAGCACCCAGGTGACCTCGAGGCCGGGCTGGACTCTGGGGGACACTTGGGACAGGGGGAGGGGTTTGGCGTCAGGGTCGTGGGATCCCGGCCAGGGGCGGAAGTTCTGCACCGGCCCGCGGGCCGTGCCCAAACCAGCCGGCTGCCAACGCTCCTCCTCCTCAGCGACCCCTGAGCCCACAGTTTCTTTTCCCCGCAGCGCGGGCTTTCTGGCTCCGGGCCTCTCGGCATTCTGGCTTGCGCCTGCGCCCGGCCGGCTGCCTCTGGGCACAACGCGACGAAATGGGGACGCGGCGCCTTCGCCGCGGGCCTGACCCCACTAGTCCCGGGGGTCCGCGCTCCGCCGCCGCTGCGGGGCGTGCGGGTGCCACAGAGCAGCCCAAATGGAAACCCCGCGAGGCTCGGGACTGGGGCAGGGGGGACAGCAAGTGTGGGGCCAGGGAAGGTTTGTCACTTGACAGGTCGGGAGCGGCATGGGGAGCCGCCTCTCCGCGAGGCTCCTCGGGAGGGAGGGTTCCCCGAATCCAGCGTAAATGGGATGGTGATGCTGGCCGCCCAAGCCCCAGGCAGCTTGGGGCTGGTGATTTCGTCCGCCTGCTTCCCTGGGCTTAGAGTCGGGTTCTGAGAGCTTCCCCCAGAGAGCGGCAGCCAGCTCCGCTCCCCTGCTTGAATAAAGAGGACAAATACTCAATTTCATTTAGTTCTGATAACTTTTCAGTAACTTCTTAAAATCCTTTTCATGAAGAAATCTACTGTAGCAAGTTTTATCATTTTGAAAGACTGGCAGTTGAAGGCGGCTGCGTACTTTTGGACGGGAATTTATGTGTGTGTGTGTGTGTAGATTGGTGTGTATATGTACATGTATGTGTGTATATGTTTATGTGTGGTCTAGGCTAAAGTATAAACGCTAGTGGACTATTCTGTCTCTAGACTTGTTGAACGAGCTTTCTTTGTTTTGGACACCTCTGGAGAGGAGTGATGGCAACTACTATAAAATCGCCAGTTTTTTTCTATAGGCTAGGACTTCTTATTAAAAGTTCTCTTTCCTTCATCTCATACACACACACCTGCACACATTTACCCTCCCCGCCAACAATAACCTTCTTCCTTTCACTTCAGCATCTACAGACTTGCGGGTTATCAGAAATCATAATTTTTCCTCATGAGTGCAACATTAACAATCGAAAATAACGTGGAAAATTCATCAAGATATTAGCATTTTTTCAGTGCTGTGGAATCACAAATTTCCTCAAATCTTTAACAACAGAGATGACCCTTTACAAAAGACGATAGTTTACACTGCTTATGAAAATATGACTAACTGCTTTTCAGTTCGCATTCGTGTGTCAGCAGGGCCCCTTTGGGATGGTATAAACTTACTCAGCTCCAAATACAGCCTAGTATGCTGCTCTGCATTCAAGAGGACCATTTTTTTCCACGTGAAAAGTCTTATGGATACAGGAACTTCTCAAACCAGTGTCAAGTTTTCATTGTAAGGAAATAGCAGCAGTGGTTAAGGTAAGAAAGTTTCTGCTTTTATTGAAAATTTATATATGACTCGGTATTGTAATAAATAAACAGATAACCATTTTCACAAAAAAATGACAGTGCTATGCTAGAGAAGAAAATATTAATTGGGGGATTTACTCATAGTGGCAAGACAGACTTTTATCGATACATAATAAATATTAACAGCATTCTTGAGCCAATGTTTAGACCCAACAAAATGTAGGAACCAAGCTAGATGTAATAAATAATTATCCAGAGAAAAAGATGGCGCATTCTCAGATGATAAGACCGTCTTTGTAAACTGATGCATGTCAATTAGTCCCATCCTCACAGCTCACCTTCAAATCACAGGACTGTCTCAGGCTACATTAAAGGGCCATACTCTAAGGAAAACAGAGGACAGGAACTCTATTATCCTTACAGTGAAATGCAAAACAACTGCAGAAAATCCCACTGGTAAATAGAACACAGTTTAATAAGTAGATTGAATATGCTCTAACTATAAAATTTAGGTAACAGAGTCAAGTGTTACATATGGCAGGACTGGAATAATCATTCATGACATTTTTCTTATCCCCCACTTACCCCCCTCCCACCATTATGCTATTAACAACAACAACAACAACAACAATAACAACAAAAGTGTTCCAAATTTTTCTCCCATCAAAAACTGAGGGAAAATAATGAGGGAAGGGTTTGCTTTTCTTTCTTCTTTGAGCACTCTCTTGAACACTCAATACCAATCACTCACAAGGTGTCTGTGCAAATTTATTTCACATGATTTCAAGGAAATGATTAACTCACACACACACAAAAATATCCTTAAACAAAGCTCTTTCGGAGTTCTATTATCTGGAAAGGAAGGAGGAAAAGGGGTGGTGGTGGTGGTAAAGAAGTACAATCCAGCCCCCCAAAATGTTAAAAGTTTTACATCAACAACGAGTCTGACATTTTCTGGTCTGGGAACCCAAGACTAAAATGTTGGGAGATTCTGGTCCGGCTGCTATTGAAGAACACATTTCTCTTCTTTCTTGGCCATCTTGCCTTTGTTTTGTTCCAGAGTTCGCTCCAAATGCTCATCTTCTTCTTCAGCCCTGGAAGTCAAACAGGAAACAAATTTATTTTTCTCCGGGAGGGCAAAGCCGCACTCTCCTCTCACTTCGCAATCCGAGCCCCAGCGGGAATGAGACTCCTGGGGCCAGCGGGGCCTGCCCCGGCCCACCCGAGACCTCCGGACTGAACTTTCCGAAAACTTCATGGCCCCTCAGCTGGCGGCGGAGACTCGACCCCCGACCCCACCGCCCACTCACTGCTTCTCCTGAGCGTCCAGGTCCCTGACGAGCGCGTCGCGCTTGTTCACCAGGGCCACCAGCTCATCCAGCAGGAGTTGCTCGCGTCGCTTCTGGGCCTCGGTCTTCTGCCAGTCTGCAGAGGACGGGAGGCTCGTTACCCACCCGCAGAGCCTCGGCACACCCTCCCCCCCCTTCCCGCCTTTTCCAATTTCCTTGTATCTCTCCGCAGACCATGTTAGAGAGCCACTAGATAGTGTTTTATGGGGAGTTTGGCCGTCGTGATGAGGATTTCACCCTAAAACCCAACTTCCTAAATCTTTCCCGCAGATGGAGATGGCTACCGCTGAGCTGGAACCTGCAAAAGAGACCAGGTGTGAGCGGGTGGCCAGCCGGAGGTGCGCACCTGATTTCACCAAAGTGGGGGGGAGGGGGAGTTGGAGGCCCAGAAAAGATCGGCCGGAGGGTTGGTGGTGGGGGAAGTGGGCAAATGAGGGGGCGGGAAGCAGAGATAGGCGATAAAAAATCAGTCTGAAAAGGCTAGAGAATCTGCTTGAGAACCTATCCTCCTCCCCCACCCCCATGCTCACCCCATACAGCCCATTCTTCGCTAATTTCCTCTTCGCTCTATTTTAGCAGTTGGATGTATCTCACACTGGGCGCCATATGCTTCACAATAACTTTAAAAGTAGTGAATCGGCTAATTAGCATTTTTCTTTGAAGTAAAAAATAAATTTGCTCTGCAATATTACACTGCAGCTCTCGATCGCATCACAGCCAGTTTTCTTTTGGAGAGGTTTGCTGGGTGGTTTAAAATCAAAGCACTTCTGCAAAGGAAAAATTACATACTTCTTTTTGAAACCCCACGTTAAAGGTTGGAAAATCCGATGGGCAATGCTCTTTCCATGCGTAGGGGCAGGTTTTTTGAAGGTTTTAGGACCCAATAATATATTTGCTAATCTTCGCTGGTCTGATAATTTCCTTAAGATGAGCAGCAGTTTCGTTTAATAAAAACAGGACCAAATCGAACATTTAAAGCACTTTTAAAACCAAAGCCAACTGCTCTCTGGCCAGACTGTAAGGGCTTGTAGCTGTCAATCAACCCCCAGTCTACCCCGCCTCCCTCATTAGGAAGGTAAACAATGAAAAGAAGAAGTAGATGATGAGGCAGATAGCAGAACAAATGAGGACCTAGAGGGAAACAGGACACCAGCTTTAAAAAAAAAAAAAAAAAAAAAAAATCCAGGGCCACTGACTCATGCAGCCCCCTCCCCCAGCAAATGCACTTTCCAAAAAACAGAGAGGAGTGCAATCCTTTCGGGTTTCTCTCTTCTCTCTCCATTGCCCTGGGCAATCATGTTAAAACTCACATGGCTGGTGCTTATTCAGATAAACCTAACAATGCACACCGCTGGTTACCATGTGAATCTTCACAAACCACACAAGAATGTGCTGGTTCAAATCCCCCCGACCCCCTCCAAAGCAAAATTTATTCAAGACAGCAAACTGCTCAGCAGCTTTATGAAAGCAAATGGTGCTAGAGGGAATTCTATCTTGTATTTACAAATTAAAAATTAGATGCATCATCATGCAATAAAGGTTAAAATAGCAGCAAAAAGCTAGAATGGTTTATTCAATTTTATCACTATTCCTTTCTTTATAAGCTCAAATACATACATACATATATATGAAACATGCCATGTGTTAATTAGCCACATTTGATACAAAACTCACAAAATTAGTACATTAAATAACTGGTCACATTACATTCCTATAAAAAAAGAAGTGAAATATTCTATAGCATGAGAAGGAGTAAAGAAACTATTACTATGTAAAGTTTTTTTCTGAATATAAGAATTAAAAAAAATAATAAAACAGCAAAATTGAAGAAAAGCCACATCTATCACAATTTTGTTCTTTGGATTTAAATGCAACTGTGGTCAGGAAAGCTAGACAATTTTCTAATTTGGTTCTTGTTCTTAATCAGTTTTATTCTACACAGCAGCAAAATTAATAGACACTCCAGTTGGAAGGATCTTTAAGGTCATCTAGTCTAATTTCAGGTAACTGTAGTTCTAGAAATATTAACTCAGAGAAAAACCTGCTAAATTTGTAAAAGATTTGTAACTAAATTTTATAATTAGTAAGACTACCGATTTTGATGAATATTAATTTTTCCACTTTTAACCTCAAGAAATCATTCAGATTATAAGCTTTATAATTATTTACTTCCAAAACATTTTGATAAGAGCTTCACAACTGGGAAATAAATTTCCTCCACCATACACTTAAAAAATACAATTAAATGGAAAATTACAAAATTTTCTAAAACCAAGAAAAAAATAAATTTTAACAAATAGGACATATAATTTTCTTAATTAAATTGTTCCTTCTCTGTACTTGACCAGTCACTTTTAAGGCTTTAATTAATAATTAGAAATATCAAGATAAATAAGGCTTTAACAATATGGATGAGAGAAAACTTTTATTTTTTAACCCCTGAAGTATTGAATAATTTAAAAAATCGTAACTTTTTCCTAGCTCAATACTGACATTTTCTGTAACTGTAACAAAAACATTTTTAAGGTTATGAATATTTAGGTTATTTTCATCATTTCACAGTCAAATTTAACTGACAGTAGAATTTAAAATGTTACAGCATTAATTTAAGGATTTTTCATATTAAATTTGTCATTGCTATGTTAATATTTATCTACAAAACATTAGTCAATTGTAGAGGAAACAGCTATGTACAGTGAGTATATCTTACACTAGCAGAACTACTTTTACTTTGCATTTGCTTTCTCACGGGAGTAAATTTATACACACACACACACACAATTGAATGCTGATTTGGGAAATTAAACTATTTTGATGATTTTTTTAAAAAATTAATAATACCTTTAAAATTGATCAAGATCCATATTTGTGTGTTCATGCCTAAATTAAAAAAAAATTTTAAATCCCCTTTTAGTAGCTTCACCTAGATGTAATGTCATGTTTTAAAAACCTGCCTGTAAGTTTATGTGTTACCTGTTATGCATTTTAAGAAAGGATTATTCACCTATAACACCAGTCACAGCTAGCTAGATACACTGACTTTGACTTGAACAGACTACAATGTGGCTTCTGATTAATTTAAAGATTCCAGTGTACTTTTGCTACAAAAGCCATATCCTCTTGCAACAAATAGGATTAAGTTTTGATGCTGCATTTGACCCAAAGTGTTGAAATAAAGAGATTCTGTTTATGTCCATCTGCACTGAGCTGTTTTGTTAATTTAAAAATCTCTTTTTTTATATATAGGGCCAATTATTCATTCCCCGATTCAGTTTATTTGCTGAAGTTGGTAATTACCTTGGAAAAAAGGCAAAAGAAATACCTATAAATACTTTGATAGAAAGGACCTAAAGTTCTTGTAGTAAACCTTCAACCTTGCCACTATAAATAAGCCTGGCACTTTGATGAAAATTAACACTAGTTTTGTAAAGAGCACATTGGGGGATTGCAGTCAAGTCTTATCTTTAGTTCCAGTCAACTAGCAATCCTGAAAGAGTTTGCATCATCATCAGAGCAGGCCATTTGATAGGATTCTACTGCTGTACCTAATCAATCTATGGAAGACTGTGGCTGTGCTGTGTAACAAAGCTAAAATAGATTTACAAATGGGGTTTTAGGGGATAAGCTCCTCCACAGGATTACATATTGATTTTAAATATAAAAAGCTTATCATATAAACCATAACTACAAAAATAGTGAACCTATGCATAAATCCCTTTAGAAGAGCACCCACTTCAAACTCTAAGCCAAGAATAAATCAAGATGTACAAAATCCTAGAGCAGATCCATTTCTTGTGCAGAAAATGAACACACCACTTTCTAAAAGCCCACCCCAATATGTGCAGAAATGAATTTATCTTTCCTGAGGGGGCATTAAATAATCTGGAACAAAAAAACTATAGGAAAAGTATCTAAAAGATGTTTGTTAGCTTAAGGGATCCTACAACTTAGCTCAGTAGAGTGAAACTCCTGCTATGAAAAACACCTCGAGGAAAAAAAAGGCAAAAAACAGGCCAAAGTGATTATGGATTTTCAGAAGAATGGATACATTGAATTTTTTTTTCCCCTCTCAAACGAAGCTGTTAATATTTCTTTCAATGTGCTATGTGGCTATTAACATTCTGTGCTTTCTCCTGGTGAATGGTTTCAGGAGCAGATTTATTTGAAAAGATTTTAGTTTATTTATTGTGAAAACCATCTTATGGCTACCTAGTAGAAGAGATGGGGACAAAAAGAGGAATGAACCTTACAATAAAGGAGAGCAAAACAACACCAAATAATGTTGCCTATTCATGTGTTATTCTGTGGGTTTTAATATTCCAAAAGCCTACTGAACTGCATGTGTGTACATTCTAAGGGCTGGCTCAGAGGACACTGTGTTCACAGAACTGATCATCACAACAGTCAGTACCTGTCTAGGACAGCCCAGGCCATGCACTGCCCAGGCTAGTGGGACAGGCCTCTTACTAAGAAAGTGCCTTTGTCATCAACAAGCTACTTCTTTCCTCAAGTCTCTTCTGTCCCTCAACCAGCAACAGAAACTGGCACAATCACATATGGGACAATGATCTTAATTAAAAAATAAAACAAAACCTCAAAAAATTACCAATTGTATTAAAGGGGTTTGAAAAAGAAAAACACTTTTTCCCCTCCTTAAAAAAAAAAATAACTTTGTACTGATATGTACAAGAAGAACAGGCAGACAAAATGTTCAATGATTCGTGACCGTAGGTTTGGTATATAGGCACAGGACTACCATAAAAATGAGATCTTTTGTATGTGTCATGGCCCTCCTTTTAAGATGGTATTTGGTAATACAACTGGTTTGGGGACAGAAACAATATCTGCCTTAAAAGTCAACTGTATTGTATCAAGCTGTATTTTAGGGATAATTTAACTTATTATACATGAGAGAGTGTTTTTAATACTCTGTATTGAATATAATGTGTAATGAATCTATAAAGAATAAACGGTACAGTGAGTCATACATTATATATACTATATATACATACATTTTATATCACACATACATATATATAAACCATATAAATAGTATCTTCTATACCCACTTTTCAACTATTTAGCTTTCCAATCTCTTTTAAAGACTACACCATGACTACAAAAATTCTATCAAGAAGAAAAATACCATTTAGCACACCTGTGCATTTTATTTCAATGGCAAGTTCTACAGAACTTCTTAAATAATTTTGACAAAATTTTTAGTCATTATCAATGTATAATTTGATTCATCTGGATAGCATTTGAAGGAAATTAGCTATCTGAAGCCTTTAAAATAAAGTAAATCTGATTTCTAAATGAGGATACACAAATGTTATCAGTCATATTTATCAAATGAGATTACAGATATAAAGTAATTAAAAATAAAACTTTTATAATATATAAGATTATATTTAGATAAACAGCATATATTTTATTTAATCACAATATTAATTAAAATATTTTTAAAATATACGGTTTCATTTGGCTTTCCCTTACAAACTTAAATTTCTAGTTTCTAAACTAATTAGAATTGGCTTATTATGGATCAGGTACCTTATCAGGTAAAGAAGGAAATTACTATGGACAGTCAATGGGTTAAGAGGTCAATATAGAATAGGAAAATCAATTTGCATTGATTAGACAAAAGGTCCATTTTACACAGCCCAAAGGATTACTTTTTAAGCAGACATCTTTGAACTATAAGACATTTTCAACTAAAAGGCATAAGGAGAAGTGCATTCTTAAACACATCAGAATTTTTTAAAAAAATCATATAGTAAATGCCATAGTTAAGCTAGCTGATGTTTACTGATATTATGAACCATGCTTAGGATTACTATATAATTCATATAAAAGCTTTATGAAAAGTATGAAAGTGTTTTATTTATCTCTTATGTCAATCTTTGCCTGAATAATCACTTAATAGGAGTTGGAGTCTTAAGAACTATAGCAGACTGCAGGCATATTTCAGTGTTGACATCAATTAAATATTAAGGTAAAATTTAGAGTCTGATGTGAAAAATCAAAATGATAAATCTTTCCCCACCTCCCTCGTGGAAACAACCTTAAATTTCACACACAGTAAAATGTAATTTAATCATTTAACTCCTTATATTTTCTATTTTATGGACATTTCAGCTTACTGACAAAGTTAAGACAATTTTGTGTTTAATAGCACACATAATGATTATCTATCTGAATTAGGGTTCTTAGGGTTTACGTGACTGTTGCTTTCTAACTCTAAGTCATTTATCTGTAATTCCTGTTGGTTCCTAGTCAGGCCACACCTGGTGAGACCAGAAGTGTATTACACTCTTTAAATCTCTTTGACAGTTGACACTTCACATACCTCATTCCATCATAGCCATTTCTTACCTTCGATGGCTAGCATTGCCCGCAATTCCCGATTCAGCAGCTCATACCGTCGTTCTAAATCATGCTCTTTTTCCCTAGGCAAGTTGCAAAAGTTCATCAATATGCTAATTACTAAATCATTAAACACTTAAAAGAACCTGTAGGTTACATTGATTTTAGGACTCATAACTGACTTTTCTCTTTAACTTTAAGCTACTCCAAACAAATGATACACAAACCTAAAACCTTCCTCAGGTTGAATATTACTAGTGCTATTATTTTTCTCCTTCAATTTTGAATTGCACAGAGGTATATTTTAACCTTCAGATAAGTAGTCTCATTCTTCAATGCTTCTTGTCTTAAGTGCCAGGTATAAGACTATTTTGTAAAATATTTTTCATAGCTCACTCTTTTGTCTGGAGTACCATGTAAAAAGAATACAAGAAACATGTAAGTACTACCAGTGCAAATTTAATACAGAGACAAAATTAAAAATCCAGGAGAGCTAAGTTTTGTGCTTCTTCATAACTCTTTTTATCAAGTTCAGGCATAGCAGAAATGACAAAAATAGAGGTTTTCACTAAAATAAAACATGTGAGCCTGCTCCTTCCCACACTAGGTGGCATAATATAAGAATATTGCTGGTGAACAAAAAGAAACACGCATTAAGTCCTATAGTGAACAAAATGCTAAAGACCAAAAATGCTTACATCTGGTCTAGTCTCCATTTTACTGTACACAAAAGTGATCTTTCTATGATTGGAGGAATTACCCAAATTTAGGGTAACATCATCTGTAGAATACAAATGTACTTTTGTCCTTATTAAGAGTTATTTTCATTTTTAACTTAAAATGTGATGTTAAATAAACTTCAATTTTATTTCTTTTGTCCTCTAACCCTTAATATAATCCAAATGTCCTTTATGTGCATAAGTGCTTTATTTCTTAAATACAAAATTTTTTTTTATTCCTTGGCTTCCTATATAATAAACATTTTTTAGTATATATCACTATTTTAAAAAACTTACTGTTCAGATGAGAAATGATTATATGCTATTTTTAATTTTTATTTTTATAAAAAACTATACTGTAATCTCCAAGGAAAGAAAAATATTAAACCTAATAAATATGAAATCCCAAAGAAGGCAATGACAAAAAGCCTAAGACTCATCAGTGTTGTAGGAAAAATAAGAAGTCATGGGTACTTACAGGAGAGAAAGCTGGTTCATTCTCCTTATTAAGGCATTTTTCTTATTAACCAACATAAACCATTCCTGCATCATAGCTTCTTCTTCTTCTGTGTTCCTTCCTGTAATTCAGCAAATTATTTTTATATGACATTTTACAAGCCAAATAATAGTTTAGCACAAGTATTTTTTTTTTAACATGAAACATATTTTAGCTACCCCAATAGTACAAATTAAGCTGTTTATAATAACATAATATTAAAGTCCAGGGTCTGAAAAGAGCAATCAACATCTAAAAATTCATAAGCCAATCTTCTAAAGCTGGTATTATTCAGCATGTGTATTTCAGTCCCCCTCAACATATCTACAGATCAGACTAACATTAAGTACAGTAAAAAAAAAAAAAAAGTGTTCCAACTTTTAAATCCTCCCCAGAGGCTGATTTGTTATTATGTTTCAATGAGGAACTCATGGTGCTGACAGACAGAAGGTCATGATAAAAAAAAAAAAAAATTTTAAATCATTATGAGAATTGTAAGACTAGCAGGAAGATCAGAGAAGTCCAGAGATTTTGTGAAAGCTTCCACTTGTAACAACTTGCTTTTTTTCTTTTCTCCCCAAAAGTAAACTAAAGATATATGTTCATATACCATTCTGGAACTCATCATCTCTAATAGGGCAAACACATGCAAATTATTTTAAATACATTGTAAATGACCAGGCTACAAAAAATGCCTATAGCTATCTGTGAAAAGACACATTATAATGAAAATAATAATGTTCAGTAAATCACAAAACATTTCAACAGAGAGAAGATCTAAAAATTAGATTTACTGATTGCACATTTAAAATTCACTTTCCATCATCTATACCACTCCCCACCAAAGGCCAGTATATCAAGGGTTATAATGTATAGGATATATTTATTATTGTTCATGTAGAAGTAGGCCACAATCACACTCAAGAGAAATATTAATTCCCCACCTTCTTCCCACCTCTCCATTCAAATTGTACCTAGTCAAATTTATAATTCTTTGACTTTCCTTTTTCCTGAATTTCACCCATGATTGGTTTATTGTTTTGCTAGGCCATTATTTAATACTTCAGTCCCACTTCTGTACAGATGCATAGGGCTAACTTAAATATCTAATAAAAAATAAAATATTCTAGTTTCATTTTCTTTTTAAGGAAGATATTTTAACTTTCAAACACATGACCAGCCCATTTTAAAAATTTAGACAATAGATACCTAAAATAAGTGAAAAGCCAAGTCTTTCACCAACCCCTCTCTCTCCAATTCCTCTCTCCATCTCCTTTCTCCAGAAGTAAGTACTTCTACAGTTTAGCATATCTCCTTCCAGACCACAGAGATTACTATGTGTATCAAACACATGCATATACCTTATCTATAGACACATACAGGTTTCTTTTCTTTAGCATAAGTGAGATCATATTATATATTGCCCTGTGATTTGCTTTTGTTATGCTGTTCAAAGATCTACCTCATTCTCTTTAATACTTGCATAAAGTATGGATGTGCCATAATTTATTTAACTATTTCCACATTAATAGAAATCTGAAGAAATTTTTAGAATGGAAATAGAATATAAAGAGATGATGATCTGTGTGCAAAAGATTAAACATGTACTTCAGAGCATCCCTGTAAAATAGATATCTGTTGTTCATCGTTAGGGAGCATAGTGAGGATACGTGCCTTCATTAAATGCTATTAAAACTTTATGGTATGAAGCAGACGTAGGATAGATCTTTTTGGGGTATGAACAAAAGTCTTTATTGTTTTACAGTATTTTTAATCTCTCTTTTAGGGTAGCTGGTTTTGTATTCACTTTGGACCATGTGATGTCTTGACACTGGTCATGTGATACAGGCTGCGATACGCACAAATCCCTGGGTAGCAACAAAAGAAGAAAGAGTAGAAAGAAAAAGCTGAGAAAAAGCTTGCAATTTGGAAAAAGGCCAATTGTACCCTGGTGAAGGCCTTTTTGATCAGTGAAATGACACATGTGTGCAATATTAATAGGTGCAGTTTTTATGATATTTTATTTTCTAATTAAACACTTAGTTCTTGTGTTCATAGCATAAGTGGCTTCTAAAAATATAGACATTTTAAAACTTTGTTTTGAGTTTAACTCAACCTATAATTGAGGCTTTCAGCAGTAGTAGAAGCAACTAGCCTACTCCTAAATTAGCATCATTTTCTTCAATGGAAGACTGCTTCCTTGAGAATAACAATATTGATATGGTACTGTGTTATTTTCAGTTTAACTCATGCCTAAGATTTCTAGGTAAGAATAAAAGATCCCCCTCCCCTAACTGTTAGGAAATGACTAATAATACAAGAGTCTCATGTTTCAAAAGGAAATAAGCCTAACAATAACAAATATTTAAAGACACATTACACTCTGCTACATAGATTATATAAATTAACTGAAAAAACATATTTGAGGTTAAATCAATTCTGTATCACTAACTCCTTATCTGAGATAGTATACAAGATGGAAATCTATACTTAGCCTAGTAATAAAAAAATTAAATTTTCTTCTAATACATCATTACACTATTGTTTTTCGGGATTTAAAATTTTTTAAATTTAAAAAGCTTTTAAAAGCCAGTAAGTTGAACCATTACAAATTAATCCTGACTTTAATAACTGGTTAAAGACCCCTTTAGCTTTATAAGTAACAAAAAATATTAAAGCCTGTGATCACAGTGAGCTTTTCTCATTTCTCCTCTAACCATTTGTTATTTAATCCAATACTAGTAATCCAATTTGTCCATCAGACTTTTAAAGGGCAGAATGCAACTTCCTCAGCTTAGACACTTTTCAAAGTACAATATATTTTTCAAATGAATGCTGGATGTTTCATTTTTCCCAACTGTTCCTAGCTCTAATGCATGAGGAAAAAAAGAACAAGATGAACATTGTTCATACTGATTAAGTAAGAGCTCATTAAAGAGCTGTCAGTGCGGTACTTTGAATATGCATGAAGCATATAATCAGATCTAGTACCGTCACTAGAGGAGAATACGGTAAGTACAAAGGATTGATTTAATTACTTAGAGTGGGCTGTGGTGGTAAAGCAGTCTTGTTAGTGCAAAAAGAAAAAGAGGTTGTATTCTGGCACTGTTAGAAAAAAGGCAGTTTTAGCTTCTGCCACAATACATAATCTCAGAATAAAGCACTTTACATTGTAGCTTAAAATGAAGACTGTCATTATTTTATAAAATGGCCATAAATCATTTTATCTTGTTTAACCTCACCTGGTTAACTACTTGTCTTTGAAAATTATCTTTAATTTGTAATTACAACTACATTTTTTTGACACCTTAGAGTGGAATACGGATACTTTAAAAAAAAAATCCCAATTTTTTTTTTCAGTTTCATGAATTGAAAAATTCAGGACATATACAAGTGAAGACCATTTTGAAATAAAAAATGACAAAATACTACAGGTCAGTATACAATTACTAAAATTTAAAAACATGGCTGGGTTGTTATACTGCATTTTAAAACACAGTGCCTCATGTAAATATACTACAAATAACAACATCACACTAACATTTTAAAGTATTGACTAATTAATTCAATCTCTGGCAATATGTGTCCTACTTTTTTTCCCTCAAAGACTTCTGTTTTTTATTTTGCCTCTAGGAATGTAACATCTTTTCTGACATCACAATCTTTTAACATCAGTTTTTTCTTTTAACCAATTACTACAGAGCTGGGATATATATGATTTGTAAAAATTATCAAATGATCAAGAATAATGATAATGGCAGGAAAAGTAACTAGAAATATGACTTCAAATCATTTTCCCTCTGACATAGTTCACAAAGACCACTTAACAGAAAGCGTGTAACACACAGCACTACATACAGTATAAATACTTAATAAACACAGGTTGACTACAGCAACCATTTTTATATTTCATCTCCTCCAAAAAATTATTTAAATTTAGTTAAGATTAATTTCATTCAAGAATTCATTCATTCATCCAGGAATATGTATGTAGTTTTCATTTATTTTTTCAGAAGCAGTTTTTTCAATGTAAATTTTTAAATGAATAAAAGAAAAGTGATGTGAAAAACCTAAAATTATGAATCATATATTCAAAAATTTTCTACTAATTTACCTTTCCTAATTAATCCTTATTACCTATTTAGAAAGATATATTTTTAGACAGTGAATTCTTATATAAATACAAAATAAGGAACAATACAATTTTAGCCAAACAGGAGATGAATTCAGTGGGAAAGAATGAAAACACAAAGATGTAGGCTGCTGTTGTACATATAAACAAATTCAAGACTTTCTACCATGAAAATATTAAAGAATGCTAAAATCTTGCCATAGCCCCATAGCGGAGATGGCTGACTAGTGATCATATATGGCCCTTAAAGGGCACAACATAACAAAGCCAAACCAAACATAAAAACAAAAAAGTTGCCATTACAAATTGTCCAGATGGTATGATAACACCAACATGATGACCTCTGAAAGACATAATATAATACAATAGAGAGACACACGAAGGTGTCCAACTAGCTGGTACTCGAGAAACACATTCTAATAACAAAGGAAGTGAAATCTGGTAGATCTATATAATGGACAAAAAAGATGAATTTACTGTAGTTATGTAGGGTCATGGACACATGAACTCCTAAAGCCAATATTCCTACAGGACTCCAGTGCATCAGTTTTAGAAAATATTTTAAACTTAGGAAATAGAGCTTTATTATGAAAAGAAATTTTACTATATAAGCAAATAGCTGATAAATGTTTCTACCCCAAGAATATCCTCAAACAGCAATCAACATAAATGAAGAATTTCATAATCTTTATTGATGTTTTCAGCAGCAATTGTCTTAAAACTATTTGCTTAACATGATATATTTGTTATAGTGTTAAGAATATAAACTTTGGGGAAAAGCCCGTCTCCTTCTGTTGCAGTAAAATAAAAACTAACACACTCTCTCAAACATACCTTTTATTTACCCATTTGGTAAAACAGATTCAGGGCAACATCTCTCTACAGATAACTTCTGATAGACTTCTAGCATGTACTTCTTACAGGAAGAGGTATAGACAACTTCACCAAAG